CAAACCGTTACAGCAGCACTGAGCTCTGCACCTTGCAGTGCTCTCCTTGTCACCATCCTCTGAACTGGCCCTGCTGGCTGCTCCTGTCATCTTCTGGTGCTGCACCACAGGTTTTTGTCTGCAGAGATCTCTCTCCATCTCCTCCAAGCCATGCACCACTTTTGAAGGAGAAGAAGCTTGTCAATTTGGACTTTGGGGTTCGGGTGAGGGGTGGGGAGCTGAGAAAGAATTCTGCAGGAATCTGGCAGGGAATTTCCACTGCTTGTCCCAGATGTCATCACTGCCTCGTGGGGGTGGCACATGAAAGTATGAGCACTTGGCCTGAGTCACCCCCTTGGTGGGCACACCATCATGGAGGTCCTGCTGGGTTCTGTATATCCCTGGGTCTTGTTCCCAGCTGCAAAGGGCTGGGCCAGAGCCAGGATGGATGGAGCTCTTCTTTCCCTCCTTGCTTTATTCCTCTGTGGACTCATTGAGGAACCTTTGCCTTAATTCCCCATCTCTCAGCGAAGCCTGGAAGCACCACAAGACAGTGCTGAAACAATTCCTCACAGACTTCACCTCTGAGACCTCCATGTCCCTGGCCTTGTACACGGTTCTTCAGAAACCCATCCGAGATCACGTTGAGCAGTACATACTGCTCCTGACCAAGCTGAATGAGGTCCTCAAAGAGGTAGGAAGCTTTACATGGTGCCACTTGACTGACTTATGCTGACACATTATGGCTTTGTGGTGGTGATTTCCAGCTGGGATGGTAGGAACCAGCCCCAGTAGAGTGCAGCCCACCTGAAGGTCTCAAAGCAACAAACAGTGGCCACTCCAGTGTAGTATGAGCTACTCATCATCAGCAAAGGGTCAAATGGGGTCTGCCTGAGGTTGAAGACTTGTGGTGGTGGCCAAGGTAATGCTGGATCTGGGAGGTTTTCCTTGCAAAGGGGGTTGGTGGTTGAACTCTCATTGGTCCTTTGGATTGGGAGCTGCTGAGGTTTTTCTGCAGCTGTAGCCCAGGGAGTAGATGTCCTCCTGCACAGGGAGTAGATGTCCTCCTGCATGGGGAGTAGATGTCCTGCACAGGGAGCAGATGTCCTGCACAGGGAGTAGATGTCCTGCACAGCCCTGCCTGAAGCATTGCTCAGGCCCTGCCTTCTTTCCTCAGGGCTCTGAAAAGGACGTGGTTACCAGTGCCATCAAGGAGTATTTGAAGCTGGAGTCCTTCATCAGCCAAGTCCTGGATGAAGCTTGTTTGACCAAGTCCTTGTGGAAATCCTTGGGCTACAAATTCACAGTGAGTCACGGGTGCAGAAAGTGGCTTGGTGGGGAGCTCTTTTGGAGGTCTTGCACTCCTGCTTGCTCGTGGAGGAAAATTAATATAGGTCAAGCATTTGAGGCTTGGTTTGAAGCCAACAGAGCAGAGCAGTGTGGAACTCTGGGAGAAACCTTATGGTGACTGGGTGCTTCAGAATTTGAGCGCTGTGTCCAGTTCTGTTGCCACGAGTCTGATGACCTCTGCAAGAACTGTTGGCTTGAGTTGGACGTCCTCTCCCAAATTCTCATGTTTCCTCATGCTTCTGGTCCTCCATCTTGATGTTTGTGATTCCTTCTGCAGGACATACTCTGTGTCCCTGAAAGGAGGCTGCTGGAAGACAGCAAAAACCTTCCCATCTCTGCCAGCACGAATCGATCAGACAGGGTCTTGCTCTTTGATGATGTCCTTGTGCTAATTCAGGTGAGTCTGCAGACCTTCAGGAGGATTGGACAGGCAGCATGAATAAATAATAGTAAAACTCATCCTTTTGATGTTGAAAATGCAGCAGAGCTTGGCTGCTGGCAAACCTTTGTCTAGACCCTTCCCCAGCAGCTTCGTTGCCCTTCTCTGGCCACGCTCCAGCCCCTCAAGGTCCTTCTTGGAATCAGAGGCCCAAAACTCAACCCAGGATTTCAGGGGCAGCTTCCCCAGTGCTCAGTCCAGGGGGACAATCCCTGCCCTGCTCCTGCTGACCCCGGCCAGGATGCTGGTGGCCTTCTTGGCCACCTGGTCACACGCTGCCTCATCTCCATCCAGCTTTTGACCAACACCCTCAGGCCCTTTCCTTTGGGAAATAGTAGCTGGAAAGTGCCCAAGCCTGGAGCTGTGTGTGGATTGTTGTGACCCAAGCCCAGGACCTGGACTTGATCTTCTTCAACCTCATCCTGTTGCCCTCAGCCCTCAGAGCTCTCGTGGTTGACTCTGCTAGTGGCACGGGAGCAGAAGTTGCAGGAGTTCTTGGGGCTGTTTCAGAGATTTGTAGCCTGGGCGTGGGGCAGACAGGGAGTGTCTACAACCATGGGCAGCTAGACAAATAACATCTTGTCAAAGCTGTTCTGCAGCATGTTAACCAAGCCCAGCTTGGCTTCCTCTGACTGACAGTTCTTCTGGTCTAGCAGAGCTCTCTTCATGTGCACATCCCTCTCCTTGCTCTTTAGTTATCTGCCAACCCCTCGGGTGTCCAAACCCATGACTGCCTTGTGAGCTGATGCATCTTAGGAGCTCTTCTAAACATGAGCCTTTGTGATCAAGCTGGGCAGTCCTACCACGCCTCCAGGGTCTAGGCATGAGGAAGTGAGGTGGTGATTATCTCACCCAGCTTTACATCGTGGCTTTTTTAGCTCTGGGGAGATCTCGCTGTGAGCAAGTGCCCCCAGGCTCCCTTTATAGGCAGGGGAAAGAAACATCCTCTGCCTGGGTGGGGTTTGTCTGACCTATTTTAGATGTCAAAATTCAGATGAGTTGAATCATGTCCTCAACTCCACTGGCTGGGCTGAGAGCACAGGGAAACTAGATGCCATGGAGATATCTACCTTGTAGACATCTCTGTTCAGTCAACAGTTCCCACTCACTCTGGCTCATCTCCTGCTGTGACTGGTCCTGAGGCTTGGGGAGATGTGACTGGACTAGGGTAGAACTGGAAAAGCTGCCTGGAGGAAAGGGATGTGGGGGTGTTGTTGAGAGCTGGCTGGAGATGAGCCAGTGTGAGCCCAGGTGGCCAAGAAGGGCAACAGCAGCCTGCAATGGATCAGCCCTACTGTGGCCAGCAGGAGCAGGGCATGGATTGTCCACCTGAACTGGGCACTGGGGAGGCCACACCTCGAATCCTGGGGGTAGTTTTGGGCCCCTCACCCCAAGAAGGACCTTGAGGGGCTGGAGCATGGGCAGAGAAGGGCAACGAAGCTGCTGGGGAAGGGTCTAGAGGCCAAGTGTGGGGAGGAGCAGCTGAGGGAGCTGGGGGTGCTGAGCCTGGAGCAAAGGAGGCTCAGGGGAGACCTTCAGGCTCTGCACAGCTCCTGACAGGAGCCTGGAGCCAGGGGGGGGTCGGGCTCTGCTCCCAAGGGACAAGCAACAGGACAAGAGGAAACAGCCTCAAGTTGCCCCAGGGGAGGTTGAGGTTGTCCCTGAGGAACAATTTCTTGCCCTGGAGGGTTGCCCAGGGCTGTGCCAGGCTGCCCAGGGCAGTGGTGGAGTCCCCACCCCTGGAGGGGTTCCCAAGCCGTGGAGATGTGGTGCTGAGGGATGACGTTGAAGGTCTTCTCCAACCACAATGGTTCTGAGATTCTGTGCTTGGCTTGTGCTGCTAGAAGGGCTCTTCTGATGAGGTGCTGGGAATCTGAGGGTCCCTCCCTTCCTGGTTCCCCCAAAACTGGTGGATACATCGGTGATGAACTCGTGGTGAACTCTACAGTGCTAACACCTAACCTTGGCCAACTGCACCCTTCCAGAGAGCAGCCCTGCAGGGTGGGCATCTGGACTTCAGGCAGAGAAGGGAGATGCAATCTTAAATTCAGTCTTTGCTTAGTATTTAAACCATTTTACTTCTGTTTGATGTGTTATTGATCAAAACAATGACTCCTTAAATGTCAGACTTGTAGGCAACTATTGTCTGGAGCAGGTGGAGTCCAAATCCTGGATAGATCATAAGAAACACTGGGCCGTGGGGTGGTCTGGGAGTGTTATGGGGAAGAAACTCCTGTAGAGGGAAGTGTCATCTGAGAGGGTTTGTTGCTGTTGTAGCCATGGAGCTCTGGAGCACCACTCATGAACTTTCTTGTTCTACATGAGACTAAGAACTTCCTTCCTTCTACATTTCTTCAGTCTTGGAGGCCACTTAACATAGTGTGGGATAGAAGTGTGGCCAACACAAGAGGGACTTCACAGGGCTGCCAGTCTCACTCTGCTCTTCAGTGGGTTGCCAGAGTGGGGACAAAGTCTGATGTTGACATCCATAACAGAAACATCTTCTCCCTTTTCTTCCAGGGGAACAGCTTCCAGAGTTTTGACCTGAAGCTTGTGTGGGTAGATGAAGACACCAAGGAGAAATCAGCTCCAGGATTGTGAGTGAAGAACTTTTTCCACTTGGAGGGTCAAAAAACCCCACAACTAAATAATTGTTTGACTTGATTATGAAACTGAGGAAATGCTCCAAAGCTTTGTCCCATCTCCTTTCCACCCCGTGGGATGGTTCTGGGCTGTGGGTGATTGCAGCACCTCTGAGGTAGGATCACAGCAGCTTGGACCTGCTTTGCTTCCACTGCTGACATATTGCAAGTAATCAATGATGATAAAATGGTTTGGGGTCCAGATCTAGAGAACAAAGAGGAGCTGACTACCTCTTGAGAAGGGAAAGCTGACTGTGAAAGCACCGTGAGCTTCTGAGGAGCAATGGGAAGAGCAGGAGCTGCTGTGTGACTGAGAAATGAGGTTTTTTTCATGGTCTCTGTGATGTCTTTTGCTTCCCAGGTACCGACTCCGCATTATAACCCCAGAAGAAACGTTCTTCCTCTCTGCCAAAGACCCACAGATGAAGGTTAGCCAAGGGCAGGGTCTTCCTGTCCCACCCAAGCTTCTGTGCCCTGAGGTTGGAAATGGGGGAATGGAACAGGGGGGATGGCAGCTCTGCAGTGGGGACCAACCATTGGCCATGGACTGGAAGGAAATCCCCTTAAACGTCAGGATGGGTGGGGTCTCCACCTTTGAATGCTGCTGAGACACGTTGCCTGGGATTTTTTTGGCCATTTTTTTAAATTATTTAAAGCAAAATAATAAGCAGTGTTGGGTTGTGCCCATCAATACTCTATTAGATGGCCAAAGGTGGCTTAGATAGTTGGTGGTAGTGAAGAAGTTGGTGGGTGCTGGGAGTGGTCTGCCCTGGGCAGTGGTGGGTGCCACAGAGCTCGGGGCAGAACAGTCCCAGCAGCACGGTCCTGTGCCCAGGCCAGTGGGTGGTGGGGACACTCAGGCTGAAGTGACAGGGAAGGGTTGTGTTTGGGTGTAGGACCCCAGATAACACCTCCTGTTGATGGGCCACAACTCACCTGCCCGACCAGCTGATTGGCACAGAGCTGGTGTAGTGACAGGACGAGGGGTGATGGCTTTAAGCTAGAAAAGGGGAGATTTAGGTGAGATGTTAGGAAGAAGTTCTTCAGTATGAGGGTGATAGACCACTAGAATAGGTTGCCCAGAGAGGTGGTGGAGGCTCCATCCCTGGGGACATTCAAGATCAGGCTGGATGAAGCTCTGAGTAGCTTGATCTAGTTGGAGATGTCCCTGCTGATGGTGGGGGGGTTGGGCTAGATGCCCTTTGGAGGTCCCTCAGCCCAGACATTCTATGACTCTATGATGGGAACCCAACAGCTTCTTGCTGCTTCTCCTGAACCGTCTCTTGTCGGGAGCCACTTTGGTCCCTCCTGAGTCCCTCCCTCCTCTTCCTCTCCCCCCCAGGCTGTTTGGCAGTGGAAGCTGAACCAGGCTGTGCGCCAGGCGCTCAACGGGAAGCGAGATTTCCCCTTGTGGGGCAAGACTGGAGAGGGCAGCGAGCCCCCGTCCTGCCGCTTCTTCACCTACTGCTTCAGGCTGGAGGGCAAGCTCAAGAGCGCTTCCTACGAGGGCGAGTGGCACTGGGGAAAGCCACATGGCAAGTAAGGAGGCTTCTTTGCCCACCTCCTAAGCTAGAACGTGTATGGATGGTCCTGAGGTCTTCCTGCAGCACCTCCTAGAGCCAGTGGATGCCCAGGTGGAGGTGGAGATGCCACAGCGTGGCTGTGGACATGAGATGACCCATCCCACGCTGAGACCTCCTGACTGGTGACCTCCCATGGTGTGCCAGCCTCTCTGGTTTCCATCTCACTTGTTTCCAGAGGGAAATGTGGTATTGAGGGCAGACTCAAGGGGCAGCTGGGGCACATTTGCATGATCCCTTCTAGGGCAGGGATTGTCCCCCTGTGCTAGGTACTGATGAGGCCACACCTTCAATACTGCATTCACCTTTGGGCACCTCACTCCCAGAAGGACCTTGAGGGGCTGGAGCGTGGCCAGAGAAGGGCAACGAAGCTGCTGGGGAAGGGTCTAGAGGCCAAGTGTGGGGAGGAGCAGCTGAGGGAGCTGGGGGTGCTGAGCCTGGAGCAAAGGAGGCTCAGGGGAGACCTTCTGGCTCTGCACAGCTCCTGACAGGAGCCTGGAGCCAGGTGGACACTCATTTCTTCTCACAGGTAACAAATGACTAGACAAAATGAAAACAGCCTCAAGTTGTCCCAGGGGAGGTTTAGGCTGGAGTTTAGGAAGAGTCTTCACTGACAGTGTTATCAATGCCTGGCCCAGGTTACCCAGGGAAGTTTCTCCATCACCATCCCTGGATGTGTTTGAAAGTCCTGTAGATGTGGTGCTGAGGGACATGGTTTAGTGGTGGCCTTGGCAGAGCTGGGTTAATGGTTGGACTGGATGATCTTAAAGGTCTTTTTCAAGCGATGTTTTGGGGGCTTAGTCAAAGCAGGAGTCCTGCCATGTGACCTGTCCCATTGCAGATGTCTCTCTAGTGGTGCTGGTGTATGCAGTAAATTGTAGAGGCTGCTCCTAATCCTCTGGTAATGACCACGTTGCATCAGCCCATGTCTGTAATTAAGATTTAGACTCGAGCTAATGTTTATTTTCAAGATCTCAGCCTGAGGCATAAAATCTTACTGTTATGATGACCAAAAAAATTTGGACGTTTTAGACTTCCAGAATTTTACCCAGTTTGTTTACAGTTGCTATGGAAACAAAAAGGCTGGAGAGACTTGGTTTGATAGAGCCTTCAAATAATGAGAGTATCCAAAATCAAAAGCTTAATCCTGGATCTTCTGTGGAAGACCTTTGTGCCTTGCCCCGGAAGAGCATTAAATCACAGAATCATTGAATGATTTGGGTTGGAAGGAACCTTAAAGATCATCCAGTTCCCAGCTCCCTGCCATGGGTAGCCTAGACCAGGCTGCTCAAGAGCAGATGGGGAGGAACAGCCCCATGTACCAGATGAGGGTTTGGCCTCCTGGAGAGCAGCTCTGTGGAGAGGGACCTGGGGGACAAATTGCTCATAAGCCAGCAGAGAGGTCTTGAAGCCAAGCAGGCCAGTGGTCTCCTGGGGGGCATGAAGAAGAATGTGGGCAGCAGGTCCAGGGAAGTTCTCTGTCCCTCTGTTCTGCCCCAGTGAGGCCACCTCAGGAGTATTTGGTCCAGTGCTGGGCTCCCAGTTCCAGAGAGAGCAGGAGCTACTGGAGAGAGTCCAGCAGAGGCTG